CTGTCTCCCATGTTCGCGTTGTCCATTGTCCACAGGTGAAGTGGTGTCCTCTGGGGAGAGTAGGGTTTTAGCCCCAGGAAGGAAGCAGAAAGTGTCATCTGCAAATGGCAGAGGACTTCCTGTCTAAGCACCTGACTAGTTCTGGAGGACTGATAGAAATAGGGATCCATAGACTGGGCACGGTCAGGACATTTTTCAGAGCAATACATCCATGTAAAGGGGCATGGGTAAAGGATATTGAGAGATTTAGAGAGCAGTGCTTTTCATTTGGTGTCCAGTGATGTGTATTTTTGGAACCTTGGAGCTCCTCCATAAAATGTTTGTTGAATAGTTTATTTCTGGTACCTTCTTACTCTTTTGTATTAATATACTGTTTACTACTTTGTGTTGCATTTACTTCTATTGGATTTCATTATGTTTTTGATAAGCCAGTTCTTTCATACTTACTTGAGAAAGGCTTATGGAATGCCTCTATATCCATCAAGATCAGTAACTATTCTTCGTGTGTCTTCATAATGACAAGGCAATATAGATGGACATGTGCTGTGTATATACAGCCACTCTGTGTTTGTATGCTGTCCTCTTTTATTGCCCCAGGCTGTGAGTAACATACTCTGCACAGTGTATCCTAGCCAAGTTAAGGCAGGTTCTCTGTGGTGACTTGTCTGTTGCCCTCCTACTTAGAACATAGGCAAGACTCTATCATATAAATTCTTTATGTAGAGGGAAGTGACCTAAGACAGTACTGACATTTACTAAGGAGTAGAATTCAGCCTACATTCTTCTCTAGACCTTGTCCATGGAGTATGGTTACTATACTCTTAAAAGGAATTCAGTTAAGGGCCGGGGATTTAGCTCAGTGGTGCTGGCACCTGCCTAGCAAGCGCAAGGTCTTGAGTTCAATCCCTGGTACCAAAATAAAGAAAGAAAGAAAGAAAGAAAGGAATTCAGTTAAGATTGTTTTACCAATAAGGTAGCCACATTGCACAGCTTTGTTAGAGTAACAATTCTTTTTATATTTTTCTGCTTGGAGTTGAGGGTAAGTGAAGACATCGACAAGCTTGGAAAGAAATCGGGAAAAATGCATGGGTTTCCTGGTAGAATCTCATTTCTCTGGATAGCTTCTTGCTTCTAAGCATTTCCTTTTCCAAATATCTGTAAAATAGAGGACTCTAATTAGAACTGGAAAGACAAAGTTCAACTAATGCTTCAATCTCATACTTTCCGCCATCTTTTAAAATGAGAGCTTGCGGTCCACTCTGATGGAATAGCCACTTTTCCTGAGGATACGCGTGAGTTCCAGAGGCATCAAGTACTTGGTTAACATCTTAGAAACTGAAAAACCTGTATCCCTCTTAGACTGCTTCTGTGTACTTCTTGGTTTCTGAGTAACCTGGTCCCCACTGAGATTCAGGAGACTGAAGTCTGAGAATACAGTGACTTGTCTGAGAGCCAGAGCAAGTTCAGTGCCATTGAGGAGTCCTGGCCTGAGGGCTCTGGCCCAGCGTCCTCCCGGGGCCTGCTAACAGCTGTTGTCTGAGCACTGCCACCCAGCCTGCCTGCCCCTGGGTTATATAGGTTGACTCTGTTATTGTGAGCTTCTTCGTTGGTTTTTGGGTCTCATTTCTGACCTTCTCCACATCTGTCCCGAGTATGCCAGGAAATCTTCTCTGCTGCAGCTTGTCACTCCCTGCATAGATAACCAGGCTCCAAGACCTCCTCCACCCAGGGACACACTCAAAGGCGATGGCCTCTGCCCTTCCTAGCTCTCTAGATAAAGAAGGTGGGGTTTGGCTGGCTCGGGAGACCAGAGACCATCCCTGAGTGCACGTTGTCCCCTAGGGCTTTCCCGCCAGCCCTGCTCACCCTGCCTAGGCTCTCCGCAGGTCCTCTCCGGAGAGACTTGTGCAGTTTGGCGGTCTTCCCGTCTGTGCTGTAAGATGCCCTGAGGCGGACACACCTTGAGCTCTTTCTGGCTACACTTGCTTCTGACCTTCGGCCATTGCCCTTCACAGCCCCACCCTCCTTCCCAAGCCCTGGTGGTGTGGGGGTTGCCTTTAGAAGACATCGCCTTTGTGTGGGCAGCCAGCCACCACGGTCTGCTGACGCCTGCCTCTGTCCTTCCTCATCTCCACCTGCAGCTTAGGGTCCTGGTTGGATATAAAAATCATGCAAAACTCAAGGTGTATTTTCAGTCTTTTAATTTTCATAGGCATAAGTTCTAGAACTCTGAAACTAAAGTCATGACCAAGCAGACTTGCCCTTAGAAGGTCCCAGAATCCTTGGGACCTTTTTGTCTCCCAGTGGTAGCACTTTACCAGGGTTAATTGTGTCCTCAGAGCAGAGTGGGGACTGGACACCAGATGCCCCCCTGTCCTGTGATGGCAGGGTCCAGTGGAGGAGCGAGTAGGCACTGACTCGGGCCTGCGTGGCCTGGCTGACGGCAGCTCCCTCAGCCAGTCACCCCGGGTATGAGGAAGTGGCCAGCAGCCCTGTCAGTGAAGAGCAGTCTGTGTGAGCCTTCATGCACCGTGGTGGGCCTGGTTGGGACGTGGAGGGCGAAGGGCAAGAAAGCCGCTGCTTGTGCCGACGGTGCTGTGCACTGGCCAGGACGCTGTGTGAAGGGGTGGTCGGCATCTTCTGGTGGCTCCGGACACACCCTGCTCCCAGATATGGTCAGGACGTTGAGATGGTGCTGACTTCATACTGTTTAAATGGTGCTGTCCCCTTTATTCTCACGGATCTGGGTCATGATTGTTTCTCCATTGTAATCTTCACTGGTATTTGAAGTGGAAATAGTTTTATTACAAATTCAAATGTTTTTTCTGAAGCATATGTTAACATGTATCAACGTTGTAACCTTGGAAAAATGTGGGTTTTTTCTGTATTCACCAACATTCAGTATTAAAGGCAGAATTAGTATTTCTATTACCACTTTTCCTCTTTTTTTTCCACACCAGGGATCAAACTCTGGACCTACCACTTGCAAGGCAGGTGGCAGCACCCCTGAGCTAAGTCCACAGCCCCTTCTGTTGCCATGTTTGAAAGCTGTCGAGGTTGGGGTGTGGCTCAGTGGCAGAGTGTTGCTTAGCATGAGCAAAGTCCTAGGGTCCATCTGCAGTGTCTGCTCCCCAGACTTGAAGAGACTTAGTTCAAAATAGTATGTGAAATTTCCTTACATAGTATGTGCTAATGCAATACATATATCAATAAGCTAAATATCTAAGGTTTGTACAGTTGTTAGTTCTACTGAGAAATCTAGTTTACATGATGCCATTAAAACATTGTTACATTTTTATTTGCAAGAGCTGTTTTTCTTAATAGACCTTTCCTTTTGTCCTTTTCTTTTCCTCATAGTTTAAATTTCAAGCATTTAGTAGAGTGACTTCATGAATGGGCATAGATACCTGGACTTTATGCCCAGGTTAGAGGGGAAAAATAAAATGTGTCTTTTAATCTCTTCGAGAATGCTGGCAGTTGTACAGTTTGAGAAGATACTATAGGCTGGGTAGCTCAGTGCAAAGCACTTGCTTAGCATGTGCAAGGCCCTGGCTTCCATCCCCAGCAGTGCAGAAGGAGAAGAGAGTATGTCTAAAGTATCTCCCAGTAGATGATGGAAATATTTTCTGTGCAGTTTTATAGTCATCTTTAAGTTTACGAAGTATATGCAGTCCAGTATACAGGTACGTTAGTTTTTTTAAAAATCCCACAAGGGAAAAATAATCTCATTTTGGGGGGTGGTGGGGTTGTTTGTTTGTTTGTTTGTTTTGGCAGTACTGATTTGTTTGGCAGTTTTCGTTCTTATTGTGTTGGGAATTGAACCCAGGGCTTTATAGTGAGCTATAATCCCAGCCCTTTTTAAATTTTTTATTTTGAGACAGGGCCTCACTAAGATACTGAGTTGTCTGGGCTGGGTTTGGGATCCTTCTGCCTCAGCCTCCTAGAGTGCCGGAATTGCAGGCGTGTGCCACTCACTACCCTTGGCTGAGAAGGGGTCTTAACAAAGAAGTCAGTGTAAGTCAGTGCGTGGAGATGGTTGTGTAACAGTGTGACTGTGCTTTACCGGACTGTACACTTAGGGTTGTGATGGTAAATCTCATGTCACGTGCATTTCACCATGATCTTACGAAGCCGGTGGTAGGTGAAGTGGGTTTAGGAACAATCTGTTGCCTTTGCATGAAGTTACAGAGTTGGTGCTGCTGCAGGGAGGCGGCAGGCGATTTGGGGTGGGCATGGGTGAGTGGTGGGCTTGGTTCTCTCTGGGTGCGGAGGGGGACGGCTGCATTGCTGAAGGTCGGGTGCTTGTCCAGCTGACTGCCTAAGAGTGGGCGGGACCCCCAGGGACACCCTCAGGATGGTGCGATAGAGTCAGGCCACCAGAAGTGCAAGGTCCTCCTCATATGCCTCCAATACGTAGTATCCCTCGTTGTCTCCTGGTGTCCCCATGAGTGTGATGTCTCCACGATGGGTGTCAGCCTGGAGGACACCTGCTGTCAGTATCACTCCTCATGTGCCCTGCAGCCATTCTTAGAGAGCCTCGCGTCCCAGCAGGTAGCCTGCGTTCTTCCTGCTGGGGCACCTGCCTGCCGAGGCTAAACCGGGAGTGACCGGGCCGTCAGGGTCCCTCACACCTCCGTGTGGCTCTGGCTGAGCAGAGGGCTCTGCCCTTCCCAACTCATCCTTGCCTTTGGTCTCAGCCCATTTTCTTGTGATCCCCTTACTCAGAGAATGTTTCCGAGGCGGGCATGGATGTGCTCCTGGTGATGCGCACTGAGGAAAGCTTGGCCAGAGGAGACTAACGTGAGACGCCTCAGGACTGTGAGCAGTGTCTTCGGACCGTAGCCAGTTTTCCTGCCTTTAACTTTGATGAATTACTTAAGTTTGTGGAATCAGTCTTGCCCGTTTCCCAGGAACAGTTGTTTTGTTTTGGTTTTTTGGTAGCAGCCTATTTTTTTCCTTGTGCTAATTTCCAGTGCTAACTTTGGCCTTGGTTCCTTTAGGAGATGAAAGCATGGAAATTAAAAAACAAATCACAGGGATGAGAAGATTACTGAATGACAGCACTGGGAGGATATACCAGCGTGTTGGCAAAGAAGGAGAAAAATTAAAAGAAGAGCCCCAAGATTTGGATCTAGTGTGGCCTCCGCGTTTGAACTCCTCTGTGGAGGCACAGAGCCTCCCCCCTTCTTCACGAGCATGGAATGAGCTACCACCCCAAAGTGAGCAGTTCTCAGGGCAGTATGGTACCCGTTCTAGAACCTTCCAGAGTCAGCCACTCACTGCTGCCAGCTCCAATGGTATGGTTCTCATCAGACTTACAGAATGTACTTGTGGGGGGTCGTCCTGGCTTATCTTGTTTCTGAATATTCAGTTTGTTGTTTGAGATGCTTATTAAACTCTCCCTTACTCACTTTCACTGAGTTATTTCAGAAGATAAGGAAAACAATGAAGGAAAATGTAGAAGTATATAAAAGCACCTAGAACGGAGAATCAGCAAAAAAATGGAGGTTCTATGTCCCATGTGAAGATTTCCCAGTAGAGGTTTCAGCCCTTGAAGAACTTAAAAGTGTCCTCTGCTATCGGATACTAGGGCATAAATAGCTCCCTTCATCACTGAAAGAATCTGCTGGGCTGTATGCTGTATTGCTAGTATGTACAGTATATCCTCTTGCTCACTCCTTCACTTACAAGGGGTGATCAGAACATCCGGCGAGTGTTTCAACTTTTAGGAGATGGATAACAGCAGGAGATGCAATGCCACTAACCCCCTCAGATACCCCCCTTGCTTCAAACACACTTATCCCATTGTCCTTGCCACTTTCGGAAGCAGCTCTGGAGCCCTCTTTCATGAGTGTCTTTATCAGGTGTGATTAGAAATATGGTACTATACTTGATCTTAGCCAAAAAGCCAAGAAGCGATTTGTGACGACAAATATGGTGACTCCTGTAGCCAAGAGCCATCCAGTGGAAGGGCAGGCTCCTAAAACATTATAGTGGGTCCTCATTCACCAGATCTGACATTGTGCAACTTCTGGTTCTTCCCCAAAGTCAAAAAGATGAAAGGTAAATGCTTTGAATCATTTTAGAACATTGAAGTAGCTATGACAGTACAACTAACGGCTCTCACAAAAGGGCACTTCCAGAACTGCTGCAGAAGGTGGCAAGAATGATGGGATGAGCGTGTTCAAAACATGAAAACACGGAGGAATATTTTGAAGAGGGTTAATGGTAGTGTGTCTTTCACTGTAATACATTTTTTGTTTAAATATTCACGGTGGTTTTTGAGTATACCATGTAGCCTCATCATCAGAAGTGTGCTACTTAGGGAGAGGGCTGATAACCTCACATCTTTCAGGACCCCCTTCTTTAGACCCCCATTCTAGTGCTGGACCAAAGGACCCATATTTTCTAACTTGCCTCATTAGCACTGAAAAGTATTTCATTAAAATAAAATTTTCTTAGTCTCTAACTGTTAAGGGGGAGAATGACAATTATTTCCAAAGCTTAGGGAAAAAAATTGGTGCTTTTCTTGGTCATATTAATTTTCTATTCAGTGACATTGAACATATTTGTCTTATAAATTACGTATAGATATACAGACCTAAAGTTTTTGCAAAGTACAAGGGAAAAAATAGGACATTTTTAGTTTCCTTGAAAAGTTTTTCTTCCATTTATTTTCATTTCATTATATTCTTTGAGAAAAAGAAGCTTTGATTTGTTTTTCTCATTAAACACAATTTGCTATATCCAGTTCAGGGAGTGGAAAAGCCACAGTGAGACAGGGTGAGACCAGGGAGCCCAGAGACGAGCAGTCCCTTACTCTCGGCATCAGCTGGGCCAGTGTCAAGTTCACAGCCAGAGGGAGGTGGCTCTGTAAAGCTTTCTCCGTAAGAAGTCCTTTCTCTTAAAAATTAGAAAGTGATTGATGACGAGCTGAGAAGGATTGGTTTGTCCTCTAAAAATGACAAAGGCACTTAGACTAGTGCCTAGGAACACCATGCACGCCCACCTCACTCTCCTGCTGTTGAAGAGACAATAAGGAACATAAGATGCTTTAGGTATGTGTGGATAATTTTTGGGTGACCAGTGTTCTCTTTCCAGTACACAGCGAGGATAGTGGATTTGACTTGGAGAATGTTACTGATGTTAATGCAGATTACAAACATAAATTGCAGCCTCCTGTTCAAAATAGACTTTTTTGTGCTTACTGCTTATGCAGTCAATAAAAATGCATTATACAGTGGACCCTTGAATAACATGGGTTTGAACTGGGCAGGTCCATGTGAAGGATTTTTTTTTTGGAGATTTATCACAGTTTAGGAAAACTCTCACATGAACCTCACAGCCTAGAAATAGGGAGAAAATTAAGAAGTTATATTCATGAACGCACAAAGTATCTATAGATAATAGTCTGTTTTATTATGTATGGACATAAACATGTGAAAATCTGCCATAATTTTTAGATTTATCAAAAGTCACGCACACCCACATGTAGACTATGCATGGCCCCATTCTCGGCTGAGCAATGTGAGCGAATGTAGGGTGCACTATTGCACTGACACACTCACTGCTCAGTGCTCACTCACTGGCCGTGCAGACTGTACCAGTGGCGTTAATCCGGCATCATCTCATGTGGCCACTGTAGGGTCAGCAGTTCTGCTCAGAAGTCCTCAACCAGTGTGGTGTGCCAGCTTGTGATCCCAGCAGTCTGAGACTCTAAGCAGGAGGATCTCAAGTTCATGGCCCAGCCGGTGATTTAGCGAAACTGCTTCACAAAATAAATGGGGGCAGGGCCTCAGTGCAAAATCCCTGGGTTCAGTCCTCAGTACTGAAAAACCGTTAAGCTTGGTTCTCTGGGTTTTTGATGGCACAGAGGGTTGGTACCCCTAACCTGCACAGAGTTCAAGGACCACCTTTATGTAACTGGGACTCCTATGATATTTCCCTGGAATTCTTTGTAGTTTTAAAGTTGTAACAGCTCAGTTTGGTACAATCTTTTTCTTTTTGGTACCGGGGATCGAACTCAGGACCTTGTGTTTTCGAGGCTTGCGAGGCAGGTGCAGTGCCACTGAACTAAATCCCCGACTGAAAAGTCTTGATGTAAATAATTGTGCTAAAAGTATTTTGTAGTTTTGTGGTGGTGAACTTTTCTTTAGTATCTACACATAATGCGTATTACAAGATTTAAATTATATCTAGTGTTGGGCCAGGGATTTAGCTCAGTGGTTTCGCCGCCTGCTGTGCAAGCGCAAGGACCCGAGTTCGATCCCTGGTACCAAAAAATCCCCCCAAAAACCCAAATAAAGTATATCTAGTGTATAATTGGAACAAAACCGTGGAACTTACCTCACCCACCTAATGGAAGACTTAGGTGGCAGTTGTGCCCCACACTGCTCCATCTTACGATGTGAACTTTGGCACTGGAGGGGACCGAGCTGTCGGAGCCCCATCCCAGGCTGCCTGTGCCCCACAGACGGTATGGGGATGTCTGTTCACATGCAAGGCACACAGAACAGGATAATTTTATTCAAGAAAAGTGTGCCGAATTTACACAGTGATAAAGGCTATGGTGAGGGGAGTGGGAATGTAGGGCAGGAGTGAATAAAGGTGCAGGAGGTTCCTCTGTGAAGCCAGGGAAAGGCCACCCAGTAGCCCCTCTCACCTGTCCCCATAAAAGAGCTTCTATCCTCCTGCCCGGCACAGCCCAGCCAGAGGGAATTCCCTGTGTTCCCTCTGGCCACAGGTCTTCGCTTTTGAAATAACATGCTTCCTGTTAAAACTTTTTTAATGGACTCTCTTAATTCTTAATATGAACTCTGATAACAATACACAGCTACAGTCTGGTAGCAGAGATGGAGGTGGTGGAGTGTTTTGCTTTGTACAAACTAGTGTGAGTGTGTTTGTAGTGACTTTTTAGGGTGTTGTTATCTGAGATAACTGGTCTGACAGCAGGGAGGCCTGCGTGTGTTCTTTTGACACAGCCTAAACCTTACCTTATAGAAGTCTGGATAATCAGGTAAAGCCAGGCCCCCAAATCCAGGCTGTGAAAATTATTGAGTTTGTTTTCCTCAGGCACAGTTTCATACTAATTGCACACAACTGAAAATCCTGCCAACGAACCTTCTTCCCTCCCCTCTTTATAATTTTTTTTGTTTCTTAGGCACATGTCATTCTTTTCTCTCGTGCTCAGGAGAATTTCCAGTGGCGAATTTGTCAACTGGATCAAACTGCTGTACTTGTAACTGCCAGTCAACGTTGCAGGCCATTCTCCAGGAGCTCAAGACCATGCGGAAATTAATGCAGATCCAAGCAGGTACACAGAGCAGCCTCTCCAAGGGGCCTTTGTTCTTACTGCATATCTGGTGTCTTCCATTGGGATCTTCACTGTGCTTTTGTTACAGAATCCTTCTCACCTTGCTATCTTGCTGTGCCTTTTTTGAGAACCTATTGGCTCTGCTTTTTCAGTGACCCTGTGTGGTTTTTTCCTTAGCAAATCAAGAAAATTTGATTGCTTCTGATACCACTTGCATACTCATGTGCATGTAGTCAGTATCCTTCATACCATGACCTCCTGGTACTTCACAAATGCTAGTTAATTAAATCCCGGCACACGCCGTATGGAAGAGCCCATAGGAATTGTGCGTCTTCCTGTGGAAGATGTTCATGGATGTGAGCCGCCGAGCAGTCTTGGTTACTTTTTTTTTTTGGTACTGGGTATCGAACTTGGGACCTTGCGCTTGTTAGGCAGGTAGCAGAACCACTGAGCTACATCCCCAGCCCAACCACCGAGAAGTCTTAAGCCTCAGGTTCCACTTCTGGCGTCTGTCCCTTGCATTTACCTGCAGTTCCCGCTGTAGCTGGGCAAGGTGAAGAACAGAAGAGAAAGGATTTGAAGTTGGGGGCGGACACCCCATTTCTCCTGAGCTTCTGGGTTTCACCTATAAAGACCTACCAGGATTGTTTTCAAATCAAAATGAGAAAGCAAACACAAATAACTTTCTAAGGTGTGATGCCAGCAGAAGCTATCTCATCATTGCTTTAAAGACCGTGCAGCATTTTCTAGAAGTCTGGAGGTCAAGGGCTTCATTGAGCAGCTCATTTTCTCATCTCCACCATTAGGAGGAAAAACAGATTGTTTTTTTGCCACAGGTACAAGAAATAATAAATCATCTTATTAAGCCTTCCCCCTTGTCAGGGGAGACCGCTTGCTGTTAGTTAGGGAAAAGCAGGAAAATAGATAGCATAGGCCAATCGTGCCTGTTTGCCTACCCTTTCATCATCTGGTGTTCAGGAAGGTGATGGCTCAGAAACTGCTCTTGGTGCCATTGAGTGAATTCTAGTAGAACCCTAATACTTGGTGATGTGATTTTGATACAGAAAGCCTAACACTTGGCTATATCAGTCATTCAAGATCATATTAAAGTAAGGTGAGCTAAAGGCTGGCTGAAAAGCAGCATGTTTTAAAGTATTAAGTTTGGTCTTATGCCAAGGCAAAAACCAACATTTTGCTCAGGTCAGTAAGCATTTCATTCACCTTGTTCCACCACAATAGCCCGTGCTCTTATTAGCCTGGCAAAGGTTAGCATCTCTTAAAGAAGGGCCTCAGAAAGAAAGGTTACTTTATTATGTACAGATTCTTTTCTCAGAGGGAGAATTTGTTGTACTTAAGAAAATATGCATGTGAAATTGTAATGATTTATTTTGTTACTTAAGCTCCTTACTACTGAAATGGCAAAGTACAAATTGCAACCATTTAAATCCTTGACTGAAGCCTTTTTAGAATCTATTAAGTAAATGCCACTTTGTCACCCTGTATTCCTTTCTGAACCTTTGCAGATTAGGGATGTAAATGATTCCAAAGCTATGGATAGCATAAAGGATAAACTGAATAAATTACTCCCTTAATTTTCTTAAACTGAGAAAAACTTGTATGGGGTAGATTTATTTGTTTCATTACTAGTAAGACTTGGATTTAAATTATATTTTGAAAGTTTGACCTTTATTTTAGGGGCAAGACAAGGAGTGAGGTCAAGCAGTGAGGTCTGGATGCCAGAAGTTTGAGCTGTGTCTAGGTATTCAAAAGGAGAAGCCAGTTCGCAGGAAGTCGGGAGGAGGAAGGGGGGGACGCCAGCGGAAGTGAGGTATTCTCGCGCTTGTGGTCTGGCCTGGTTTACGCGGCTCTCTTTGGCTGGGCCAGGAAGTTCCGAGCTCATTTACCCAGTAAGCCAGACCGGTCATTGTCCCATCGGCAAGATGGTGAAGCCCAAGTACAAAGGTCAGAGCACCATCAAGCCCTCTGAGTCCAGCATCAACCCGGATCGAGGACAGGGAGCAGAAGGACAAAACGTGAGGGACTGGGCTGCAATCCGGCGCCTGAACATGTATAGGCAAAAGGAGCGCAGGAATAGTCGTGGGAAAGTGATTAAGCCTCTGCAGTATCAATCAACAGTGGCTTCTGGCACAGTGGCACGAGTAGAGCCAAATATTAAATGGTTTGGAAACACACGTGTGATTAAGCAGTCTTCATTACAGAAATTTCAAGAGGAAATGGATACAGTTCTGAAGGATCCATGCAAAGTTGTCATGAAGCAAAGCAAGAGTTACCAATGTCTCTTCTCCATGGCGGAATCCAGCCTCATAACTCCAAGGTGCACATTCTTGACATGGAAAGTTTTGAAACTACGTTTGGTCCTAAGTGACAGAGAAAGTGGCCAAATTTATTTGCAAGTGATGTGCAGTCACTGATGGAAAAAGCTGAGATATCCACTGAGAGCTATGAACAGGGCAAGGATCTCGATTTGGTAACCAAAGACACTGGTGTGAGAAATGAAGCCCAAGAAGAGATATATAAGAAAGGACGGTCCAAAAGAATGTGGGGTGAGCTCTACAAGGTGATAGATTCATCAGATGTTGTAGTCCAAGTTCTTGATGCTAGAGATCCATTGGGTACCCGTTCCCCCCACACTGAGGCTTACTTGAAAAAGGAAAAACCCTGGAAGCGTCTTATTTTTGTACTCAACAAATGCGACCTTGTTCCAAACTGGGCAACAAAAAGAAGGGTTGCTGTCCTCTCCTAGGAGTATCCAACGCTTGCTTTCCGTGTGAGTCTTACTAACCCCTTTGGCAAAGGAGCATTCATTCAGCTTCTGCGGCAGTTTGGAAAGTTGCACACTGACAAGAAACAGATCAGCATTGGCTTCATCGGCTATCCAAATGTTGGCAAGAGCTCCGTGATCAACACATTGTGTTCCAAGAAAGTTTGCAATGTGGCCCGCATTGCAGGTGAAACAAACGTCTGGCAGTATATTACCGTGATGCGTCAGATATTCCTCATTGACTGTCCAGGTGTGGTTTACCCCTCTGAGGACTCAGAGTCGGACATTGTGCTGAAAGGAGTTGTTCAAGTTGAAAAAATTAAGTCTCCTGAAGACCGCATTGGTGCTGTCCTAGAACGAGCAAAACCAGAATATATCAGTAAGACATACAAGACTGATTCATGGGCAAATGCTGGGGACTTTCTTGAGAAGCTTGCTTTCCGCACTGGGAAATTATTAAAGGGTGGAGAGCCTGACCTGCAGACTGTGGGCAAGATGGTCCTTAATGACTGGCAGTGGGGCCGGACCCCTTTCTTTGTCAAACTACCCAATGCAGAGGCGCCTGCTACCCCCTGGCTTCCTCCTTCCTCATCTTTGGAAGATGCTACTGAAACAACCCAGAACAACTTGGAAGAGACTGCAGAGACCATACGTGAAGTTTCAGAATCTGTCATTGAGAAAGAAAAAGAAGAGGACCATCCCTGTGATGCTAACTCTGAAATGCAGCAGATCCTTGCACGGGTTCGACAGAACTTCAGCAAAATCAATGTCGTGCCCCAGTTTTCTAGGGATGACCTGGTTCCTGTGGAGGTGTCAGAAGGCGAGGAAGAGCTAGAGAGCTTTTCTGCTTCTGAGGAGGAGGAGGAGCAGGAGCAGGACCAACCAGATGTCAAGGAAGAGGCTCATCAGGAGTCCCAAGAAGAACAAGTGGGAAACGACACCAAGCAGTGATAAAAGCCCTGGATGAGAAGATTGCAAAATACCAGAAGTTTTTAAACAAAGCCAAGGGTAAAAAGTTTTCAGCAGTCAGGATATCCAAGGGGTTAAGTGGAAAGGTTTTTGCAAAGTCTGAAGAATGAAAAGAAACACCTAAAGAAGAAGTAAATGAAACAGCACATACTAAAAAGGGAAGGAAGCGGAAGGCACAAAGAGAAGAGGAACAGTCAAGTAAAACTCAAAGGATGCTTACATCTAAGGAACGAAGGCGAGCAGCACGGCAGCAACAATCCAAACAAGTTGGTGTATGCTACTGTGAAACACACAGTGTGAAAAATAGGAACCGGAACAAAAAGAAGACCAAAGACTCAGAAGGACAAAAACACAAACAAAAAAAATTTAGACATAAGCAGTAACACCTAAAGAGTTTATTAAATTATACCAAAATGTGCAATTACAAAAAAAAAAAAAGGAGAAGCAAAAGTCAGAGAGCCGTGTGTTCTGTAAGTCAGAGACATTCTTACTTTGACCTGGATATGATGAAGTCAGAGAGGGCTGCAGCCCACTGGGCTTGATCATCGCATCCCTGGTCGCTTTGACCGGGGAGACAGGAGCATCCTGCCTGGAGTCAAAGTGGATAGAAAGAGAGAAGTTCTCAGCCCAGGCTGCACACTAGAGTTGCTGGAGGAGCCCTTAGCAGAATGCGGTGCCCAGGCCCTGCCCTGGACATTCCCCTGTCTTAATCTGGGCTGGGGATAAGGCACTGGAGTTGGTTTAAGAAACTGTTGGTTTTCATGTGCCGCTAAAGTCGAACACCAGTGAGACTACTGCTGAATGATTGTTTAAACAACTTTGCTTTTTTAGGTAGCTTATGTCCAATACTTCTAAATTTCCTTCCCTACTGGAGATGAAACTGTCAGGATCAAAGTGTAAATATTCTTTATTTTCAGACTGAAATAAGTAAAAGAAGTGATCCATGAGCATGTGAATTCGAAAACCATTTGTTTTTCTTGGCTCCTATTTATAGGTTTCTTTCTGTCATATCAGGCATATCCTGTGATCATACGTATTCAGGAAACCATATTAATACATGGAAATTCAATGCAAATTCAAGCCATACTTTCCTGCTCATGTTCCATTGGAAGTTTTTCACACGGTTAGCAAACGCTGCTTCTCAGAGTGCACCTGTGAAAACTGTGCTTACCGTCTTGGAGTCTTTAAGTATGTGTTTACTATGCATACTTGGTCCTTGGCTGTGCTTTTCATCTTTGGAACTCAGACTGCTTCTAGATTTTACTAATTTGCTTGACTTGTATACAGAACTATATTCTTACTTTTCTGCTGCGTAAAACAAGTGTAGAGAAGCAGCAGGTCTAATGCCCTGTAACACTGCCCTAGAGAGGGTGGATGTGCACAGAGTATTTGATGAGGAAGGAGCTGCTGGGCTTGATGAAGGGAGTAGTGGGTATTCTCTACATGCTTACTGGCCCCATAACAGAATCCTCCCAAACTGTGCTTTTGATCAGTCTTGCCCATATGATTGTCATCTTTGTCCATTTTGGTATCTGTAGATCATTAGCAACTGATTGGCTAGCTCCAAATGACAGTTGGAACATTCCTGAAATGGGCTTCCCAGAAAGCATGGCGCTGTACCTAAATTTAAGTTCTGGAGTTCTCATTTATTTACAAATGCCGCGTGATTCATGCCGTCATGGTCCAGTGTTTTCTCGTGGCTCTTGGTCTTTTCCTTGCATTTCAGCGAGCGATCCACTGGCGTAGGAGCAGGTTTCTCCTGGGTGTTTCCCTGCCCTTAGGGCTTTAAGTGCCCCAGTCTGCATCTGGTGCGGAGTAAGATATGTTTTGATGAGCTTTATCCTTGAGGGAGTTTCACTTCAGTGTCATTTTGCAGATGACAAAGCTGAACCCGGGGTAAGTTATTCTCAGTTAGACACAAGTGCCTGTACTGTATTTGTGTTTATTGTTCACAGTTGGAACTCAAAACAGACAACAACCCCCAATTTCCCTTATATGCTCCCAGCGAACTGCTGTCTCGCGCAAGAGAAATAGAAAGAAAAAAGTGCCCCCAAAGCCTGCAGAACCTGTTACTGGGAAGCAGAAGGCCAGTGTGGTAGTAGCGGAGAAGAAGCCAGCGGCAGTGGCCTTGGCGCAGTCTTCAGTGCAAGCCACCACCGAGCACACCGCCAGCGAGCAGAGCCGCATCCTGGGCCTTGGCATTGTTCTCCAGTCACCTTCCTCAGATGTAAGTCCACATCTTCAGGCTGCTGACTCTGCTGACTACAACTTTCAGTTTCTAGTTTTAGTACAATTTTCCCTTCACTAGTTCTGCCCAGAACAGCTGGGAGAACTTGGAAAATACCTGCAGAAAAGAGGAAAAGAAGACCAGTAATAACTTCTTTGCCTTCAATTTTCTTTCCCAAAACCTGTGTGCTCTATTTGTTTAAACATGTTTCCATTCTTTATCTCTGAAAGAAGAGGGCAGTGGCATAAATAATCTGCTCACTAATTTCTTTAACATTTTTAATTTCAAACTGGCAGTTTTCAATTTCCTTGTCGTAGAAAACTAAAGAACATAATTAAATCCTTTGGCGATAGGCATAAATGAACAGAAGCATACAGATAAGGTCATACCTTTCTGGAAACACAAACTAATAATAAAAAAGGAGCAGTGGTGCTAATTCTATTTTATAGATGCAAGCTACACTGCTAATTAGGTGGCAGTGCCATGCCATTTACTCGGTGTAATGATAGGTTAACGCTCGGCAGAGGTTTGCTATTTTAATATCATAGCTAGAGTGTTGTCACAGGCTTGATGCTGGATCACATCTGAGATATCTGTCTGACTTGCTGTTTTATATTCATAGGACCGTAAACGAATTTCTTTCATAATGTGCTCTACTTGCAGTCGTGTACTCTATTACAATATCTTTACCTAAATATGTTTATGTCTTGAACCTCAAGTTGTTGGCAGAGTTCTTAAAATAAAGAAGACTAAGTGATCTATTATTATCAGATCTCATAGGATGAGGATCCTGCTGCGAACTCCCACAGGCTTATATAGGATTGGAATCTGGCCCCACCTTTTAAACTTTAAGTAAAAATCAAGTTGCTATTTTAAAAAAAAGTATCTTTTCCATATTATAGGAAGACAGTTTGATAGCATATGTCCACATTGGGTCTGTAATGAAGGCAGGAAATAAAAATAATCATCTGTGGTGTTTTTAGACTAGAAAATAATTTAAACTTTTATCCACCCCTTTGTCTTAAGGGAGTATTTTTTAAATCTGTAAGTACATGCTACAATCATTAAGTAATTCTCCTACACTAAAATTTTAATTTAAAATATCATTAATGATAATGATGTTTTACCTGAACTCGTCTGCCCATTTGATTATATCATATGGTTATTGGAGCTAAGGCCCTGCTTCAAACCCCAGGTGGGTCATGTGTTTGGAAACAGATAAATGATTGTGTGAAGTACACATCCTTCTAAGCACTTTTCATCATACTTTCATATTTTCCTTAAATTTTCTACACAGTTTTTTCTATTAGGCATTGATATTAGGAGCAATAAATTAAGTTGTATAACTCTTCTCCTACATGGGTTGCTTTAATGCTATTAACTGAACTTTCTCAGTTTTTTTAAGTCCCAGTTGTACTTTAAAGATAAATTGAAGAGGATGAATAATGGCCTTATGTACATTCATGAAATAGAATAGTATTTTAATTATCCTTAAAATATCAATTTATAATTTTATGTATATATTAGATAAAACAACTTACCTCTTGTCCATGATTATTTTTGCCAATAAGAGCAATTTAGTGTGCATTCAGAATTGTCTGTGAAAACGGAGGTGCTGATCACCTTTGAAGAATAACACGCTTCTAAGGAGAAGCAGGGGTCTGTCTAGATACCCTGTTTTCATTGTCCTGCCGATTCTCCACCCGATTTCTCTCTTCAGCCTGAGTGGAGCTGAGCCCAGAGGACGCACCAGCAAGTCCTGGCTTCCGGGCAGCAGGGCTGCAGTGGCCGCTGCCCACTGGCAGGGATGAGGCTGGCCTGCCGGGGCCTGGGCTAGAGTGGGGGTGACTCCCGAGGGCGAGGGGACCCCAACTCAGGTGCCTTTCTGTTCTTTAATTATTTCTACGCCAGAGCCCAGAGGAAGTAATACCTCTAATCACGTGAGAGTTATCCTGTAAAACGGGTTGGAGAGAGTACGGCGGGAATTGTGTGTGGGCTCTGAGAAGCCCACAGTGTTGGACGGATCCAGCCCACAGTCACAGGGCTGGGCGAAGGGTCGGTGTCCCAGCACCGCTGTCTGACCGGCCTTGAAAAGGAGAACAGGGCCAGGAAATGAAGATCCCAGTAGACCAGGCCTGGCCTTCCGCTTCGTGCCCCATTGAAGCACTAGGGAGCTGCTGCAGGTGTGAAGAGGAAGAATCTTGACTGCTTTTTAGAGTGGACCGTGCTGCAGATGGCAGATGGATGGAGAGGAGACAGGGACAATCCCTGCACTGGTCAGCCAGGCCGAAGCAGAGAGCAGTGAGAATGAGCGCCGTGTGGGAGGGATGTGGAGACCGAGTAGAGAGTCAACTCAGGTTTCTGTGCTGGAAAACGAGGTTGGTACTGGCTGCCGCTAGTACCACTGAGCAGGAGAGCACTGCTCTGTTCTGGGCAGGAGGGAAGAGAGCATAGTAGTCTCTGCATGTTCCCTGGACACCTAAGGCGCATGAGCAGGATTAGTGTAGCAGCAGTGAAGCACGGAAATCAAACCTATGCTTTATTGCTTTTGTTACACATAAAAATTTACTGTAAATTCTTCTTAAATTCAGTGTATTGCATTACCATTTTTACCTTGTGACTTGTTCACAAAACACAGCTGTGTCCAGTGCAGTATATCCACGGCACAGATGCAGACATGAGGGCCTGTGGGAGGCCGTGGTCATCACAAGTCACCCGGGCCTCGGGACTGACAACAGTCTTCCCTGCTCAAAGCCAGAGAAACAGGAAGCTGCAAGCACAGGCAGTCAAGTGTCTGCACCTTAGTGTGGCGAGCATTGGGTGACCTGTAGCACACGGGAGTCTCCACTGCAGTACCTAGCACATCAGAGGTGCTCAGCAGGTGTTATTTAATCTGCAGATGACAAATGAGTTATATCTGCATTAAGCATAAGGTACAGAATAAGCTAATAAAACATTGGGTCTAGACTTAGCTTAACCGGAAGCCCCTCATCAATTTAACTGCCACTTATTATTCTTCCCTTGTTACTCCTCTCTGTGCCCACCCACCCCTGCAGGGCTTCGTCTGATAGGAACAGTTCTCCTTTATGGGACCTCTTATGCTGTTCTGTTCTTTTTTACATGACTTCATGCTCTGCCACCACCAGCAGGGCCTGTACACCAATAGTCGTAATACCCGTGCTAAGTAAGCGATCTCATTCAATCCCTACTCTTCGAGGTGCTCCTGTTACCCCCGTGTACAGGAGGCTGCACAAGCAAGTTCAGACAGCCAGAAAAGGTGCAGCCCGAGGCCTCCCCACTTGAGGCCCCGCCTTATCCATGGGTGGAGGACTCGGGCCCTGCTCGGGTGCAGCTCTTGTCACGACACTCAGTGACTGCTTATGGGAAGATGCTCCAGGGAAGAGAGGCAGGGTTAGACATGGATGTCACTTGTTTACAAGCAGGTTTCTTGGGGAAAAGTGAACGGTAAAGGCACAGGCCTCGAGGTCAGGCTGCTGGGCTAGGGTCTCAGCTGTGTGAGCCTGGGGAGGCAGACCTGCGTGCTCCATGCGCTGCTCTGACCCTGCAAGGTTGGGCACAGTAGTGCTGGCCTCTGCAGTTGGCTTGTTGGGAGAGTTCAGTGAAGCCGAAGCCATCTCTGCAAAGCCTCTGAAAAGTGCTTTGAACAGTGCCCAGCCCATCTTAAGCACTCAATAAATCCTGGGTCTTTTTTTAACCTTGCAGTCCTCCCGGAGCACCTGTATAGGGACAAATGTTAGTATTTCTAAGTACATGTGTCTGTATGCATGAATGAACAGATGCATGTGAACAAGTGTTCTTTAAAAAGGAAGCAGCCAGAAATGTTTCTCTTTTGGAGCCTTTGACCCTTTTTAAGTTAGCACATTCAGTAAAATTTAGACCTAATTTGTACAGAAGCAAAAGTAGAAACCCAAAATCAAATTTCACACTGAAATAGTGTAATTCTTTTTCATGAATTCACAACCCAGTTCTCTACTAGTACTGAAACAAGTCGGTTATTGATTTCTTACAGTCATTGTTTTTTCAATACTGGATATATTGATTTATGATTTTCAGGTTAAATATATATGACCTAAATTAGTTTAATTGTTGCTTTTGTTTGGCTTTGGGGGTGCTTTGGCTTTGGTAAAAGAACAGTTTACAAAATATTTTCATAATTTTTTTTGTGATACTGGGATTGAGCCAAGGAAGTTCTGAGCTATATCTCCAAGCCCTTTATTTTTTATTTTGAGATAGGGTCTCACTAAGTCACTGAGTTGTCCAGGCTGGGGTCAAATTTTCGATCTCCTGCCTCAGCTTCCCACGTAGAATAGTAGAAAGTGTTTTTCTGTTTGTTGTAGTTGCTATGAATATTCTCCAGTAATCCTGGATTATACAACTGTAAGTTATCAGAAGATAAATCTGTGGATATCCATCAGTTTCATTTATGATTATTCATCAGTTTAAGATAACTTTAATTTTTTTATCATTCTTCATAAAATAATTTAAAATACATTGATGCTTTCAACAAAAATAGCATCTGAATTCAGAATCTGTTTTCTTAATACCTTCTTAGCTCAATAGGTAAATGCTGCCCTAGGATCTAGTAAGGTCAATTAAGCAAGCAGTTTTCATTTACTCATGGGTACGTTTAAGCCGAGGCAGCACATGTGTTCAGAGTAAGTTGCCAGTGCAGGCTGCTGGTCCAGTCTGCTTCGTCAGTTGCTACTTTGAGGATCTTAAACAAGTTACTTCTCTGAGCCTTGTTGTTTGCATGTGCAAATTGAGGATAATAATAGTAGCTGCTTCATAGGGTCAGAATTAAATTAGAAAATGTATTGTGTGTTCATTGAGGCCCTAGAATATAGGAAGTAGCAAAATTATATCACTTTTCCAGAGTGCACTGACATGAATGAAATAGTCTTTGCCTTTCACGGAGCACATGGAGGGAAATCACAAACAGGAATCACAGTATTATAGGAGGAAGCTCTAGTAGGGGCAGC